TCAGAGAGGCAGGGATACCAAGTTATCAGAAGATAAATGAGTATTAGTTTCCTGAGTTTAATGAGAGATACCTGCATTTTTAAATGTTTTTATAAACTATAACCACCCTCAGAGATTCTGAAACTCCTGCCTGAGGTTGAGAAGTAAACGGCATATACCTTTTTGCCAACTTCCCCAGAAAGGAGAGAAATGCGGTTCTTCATACATTTCTAAATTGTCATCATGCTGGCAGAACTTAAGGTGGGCAAAAAAACAAAAGAAAACAAAACAAAATACCAAACCCAAAACTCCACAAAAATCCTTTACTTCCTTTCGAGTGATAGGGTATTCCCTGCTCCTAATGGGTGATCCACAACCTAATCTGAAATAGAGAATAATCACAAAAAGAGAAGACTATGGGCCCATGGCAGGACAGGCTCCATGCCCAGAAATGGTTTGGGTGAGGTGGAAAATGTACATGACTTTGCTCAGGCCTGGAACAATCTCAGAGCATTCAAAGTGGAGGTGGACCATCAGCTGAAGCTGGCAGAGCCAGCGAGACTTGGACAGGTGGAGAAGAAAAGTAGCGTCCCTGAAAAGAGGATTGGTCTGAACAAAGGGGCCAAGGGAGGCACAGTGAAACCAGGTTGAAGAGCATGCTGGAAGTCCCCTCAGTTTGAAAGAAAAGAGCAGATTGTGGGGTACCATAAACTTCAGTACTGCCTGAGATATGAGAAACCAAACTTTAAATTATGAAATATACTTTAAAAGAGCACGTACACATACACAAGTAATTGACCACTTGTAACCCGAATCTTGAAAGTGTTCTGCGTGACTGACCCTGGTGGCATCCCTCTCCTTTCCCTAGAGCTAATCACCAAACTGGAGTTTTTGTTTCCTTGCTCTTCGTATTGAATACAGAAAAGCTTATTCAATTGTGCCTACTTTTGACCTTTTTGTGAGTGCAATCATAGTGTGTGTATTCTTCTCTTACTTTGTTTCTACTGTTTTGGAGATTACTCTGAGTTTTTTATATAGCTGTAATAAGTACCTTTCCACTGTATATAGTACCCATTCTATAGATGTTTTTACATTCCATTTGGGTGACTTCCTTTGTTTAGCTAGTTATTATAAAGCATATGATATAAGTATTTTCATATATCCTGCTCAGAATATACGCACAGGAGTTTATTTAGGGTATATACCAAGGAGTGGAACTGCTGGGCTGCAGGGAAAGCACGGGTTCTACTTTACTAAGTAATACCAACCTGCTTTCCAAAGAGTTGCATCAAGTAACATACCGACTAGCAAAGCCTGAGAGCTTCTGCTGCTCTTCATCTTGGCCAATACTTGGTATTTCCTGGCTTTTAAATTTTGCCCAGCTGGTGAGGGTGGAATGGTATCTCACTTTAGTTTTAATCTGCATTTTCTTGATTATTAATTCAGCCGGGGTTTCTATTTCTGGGCCCCCAAAATACTGTTGTAGAATCAATCTTAATGAAGTACTTCAAGAATTTACACTGTTATTGCTATAAATTATTAGAATGTTTTGTTCTTACAGTTATAATACACATAAAACAAATGTGTATTGCACCTCCAAGCACTTCCCAGACCTTATTCTATACATTCACATACATGTATGTTATAGACTAAACGTTTGTGTCTCCCCCAAAATCATATACTGAAATCCTAACCCTGAACGTGCTATTAGGCTTACTTTTGGAAGGTAATTAGGTCATAAGGGTGGAGCCCTCATGAATGGAATTAGGGCTTCCTCCTGCTCTCTGCTCTGTACCATATGGGGAGACAATGAAAAGACAGCCATCTAGAAGCCAGGAAGCAGGCTCTCACCAGACACTAGATCTGCCAGCACCTTGATCTTAGACTTCCCAGACTCCAGAACTGCGAGAAAAAGATGTCTGTTGTTTAAACAAGCAGTCTACGGTAATTTGTTATAGTAGCCCAAACTAAGCAATGCTGAAATCTAATTGATTTACAACTTGCTTGTTTACCTTAATTGTAGTTCATCCTATTCCAGTATGCATAGATGTACTTCATTCCTTCTAACTGCTGTGTAATATTTCACGGTATGGATGACCCATAATTTTACAGTCTCCTCTTTTTTAATTAATTTTTTTGAACAGGTAATATTTGGATTTATAAAATGCAATGTGTACAAGAGCATATTCCTCCTACTCCTCTTCCTCAAGAAGTCAGTAGCACTGGCCTGGAGGCAATCAAAGTTAGTAGCTGCAGTAGAGACTGGCCAGATGCTCACCACTATTCCTTCTTCCTGAGCACACAGGAAGCCATGTCCCAGTTTCCTTGACTTAGGTTAGGGTCAGACAACCTGGTCTGACCATCACAACAAGGGAGGAAGTAATAGACACAATTTCCAGTGTTTGCTACCTTTCGTGGTTTTCTCTCTCTTAGCTAACCAGCTGGCTGAATGCAGAGTCCAGTGGAGGACTCCAAGGAGGCCCTAGAAGATGCTGCCACAAGACATTAGATGCCAAAATCTCTGATTCTCTGCTTGGAGGAAAGGAACTAGGAACATCTGCATTGGACTTTATGTGAGAAATAAGCTTTTGGGTTAAACCAGTCAACTTTGGGGGTTGTAATTTTAGCTAGCATTATTTATAACAACACACACATTTCTTATATAGCCTGAAATACAAGCAATTGCCAGTCGTCTATCAAAGGACATGCAGATTATTTCCAGTTTTTCCCTATTACAATGATGCTACAATAAACATCCTAATAAGGTAGGTTTTTAGACATATTAAACCCCTAAGAGTAGTGTTTGAAATGGAGCAGGCATCTAAGAACCTGCTCCACCTCAGTGAGGTATTTCCCATCTTTTGCTTAATTTGGCTCGAGCTCATCAAGTTGGCTGCATGGTACCAGTCAAGCTACTCTCTGGCTCAGAATCCAGCTCGATGCTAAGATTCTCCTTTCTGCACAGACTCATTTTTTTCCTACAGTAACCTTTGCACCTACCTATTTCTTACATGCTCCGAGTGCCTGTCCCCTTGGACATTCATTTCCTGGGTTTGCCAAGATATCAGCTTCTTGCCAGGCTCCACACTCCTCGTTTGTGTGTGTCTCCTGCACTCTCATGCTCCACCTATTTATTCAACACGACACTTGAATATGGGCCTGTGTGGGGTACCGTTCCAGGCACAAGGGAGGAAGCACACCTATGTAAGGTATGGGTGTTGTCCCCTCTCATAACAAGAGATGATGTTATACCACATGTGACATGTGATAAGGGACTGACGAGGTGGGGGGCAGAGTCTAGCAATCTACAGTTGGTCCTGGCATTGACATGGAAGTGCTGAGAAAATTGGTTTATAACAAACACATAAAATTGTGCTTTTTCTTTATTCAGGTTACTTATATAGGGTACACATCAATTTCTAGACTTTAAAAATTTTCTTTCATTAAAGGAGCCTATAAAACTTGAATTATTACAGCCGTAATTACCACTTGAAGGCATCACTAGTCCTGAAATCAGTACTCTTTCCTCTGTCCTGCGGGGGCTAAAAGCAGAACACAACGCAGGTAAGTTGCTTAAAGGCAACAAAGAAAGAAGGGGAAGCATGAGTATATTTTCCCTTTGGGTTTCTCAGTCCAGGCAGTGATTCTCAACTTTTGGTTTTACACACTGTAGTAGATGCTGTCTATACCCTTTGGGCTTACTCTGGAGTTTGCTTACAGAGCATTCTAGTACATGAGGAAGACTGCCTGTGTCTGTTGCCCAAGTGCATTCTCTGACTATGGGAACATGTTTTTGCCAACGCTGAGCTGGGTAGAAGTGCAGGAGCAATACCCTAAAGAGGGAGAGGAGGTGGTGGGTAAGTACCTCAGCTACCTTGCCTCTTCGGGGGACAACTCTGGGGTTTGTTCCTGGTTCTCAGACAGTTCACAGCATGACTAAGCCCACTCATTAATTCATCTTTTAATGAGTTTCCTTCCTGTCTCACTTCTCCAGTCTGTCAGAGTGCCTCTTGGGGACACCTCTTAAATAAACTATTTGCATCCAAATCCGGGTTTCAGTGCCTGATTTGGGGAGAGATCCAAACTAACACAAGGCCTTCTTTGAAAATGTGAGGAAAAACAAGGTCTCTCTCCCCAGGAAAATGTCATATTTTCAAGAAACCTAGGTAGGATTTGGTGAAATTTTGATATTACGGCCAGGCTTCCAGATTCACCCAAACTTCTCTCCCTTCTCCCACTCCCCATCCTCCAAAACATTACGGAGGGAGCCATATGCAAGGACCGGCAGCCTAATAGGAATGAAAGTATCACTTTAATAGCCTCAAAAGTGCCTAAAACTCCTTTTACCTGTTTAAAATACTCTCTGTAGGAGTGGCCTCCTCTACAGTTTTCTCACAGAGGGTGTTCGCCAAACTCCTTAAGTATTTTTTAGCATGGTATACAGATGGTCCCCGATTTACAATGGTTTGACTTACAGTTTTTAGACTTTATTTTTTTTAAAGATTTTATTTATTTATTTGAGAGAGCGAGAATGAGAGAGAGAGAGAGAGAGAGAGAGAGCGCACGCACATGAGGGGGGGAGGGTCAGAGGGAGAAGCAGACTCCCCGCTGAGCAGCAGGGAGCCCGATGCGGGACTGGATCCCGGCACTCCAGGATCATGACCTGAGCCGAAGGCAGTCGCTTAACCAACTGAGCCACCCAGGCGCCCGTTTTTAGACTTTATGATGGTACATTCTACATTTGGTAGAAACTGTACGTCAAATTTTGAATTTGGATCTTTTCCCAGGCTAGTGCTATGTGGGACAATCCTCTCCCGGTGGGATGGCCATGGGCAGCTGTCGCAGCTCCGGGTCAACCACGTGATCCCCAGGGTAAACAACCATACACTTAAAACTATCCTATAACCATACAGCCATTCTGTTTTTTACTTTCAATACAGTATTCAATTACATGAGATATTCAACACTTAATTATAAAACAGGCTTTGCGTTAGACGATTTTGCTCAACTGTAGGTGAATGTAAGTGTTCTTTTTTTTTTTTAGGGTCTACAGTGCATTTTATTATACATCTTAGATTCATACATTTCATATATGCTTTTAAAGCTTCAATTAACAGTTTGATACAAAATAAAAAATATATATGTAGCAGTGGTTCTCAGGCACAGAATTTAGGAGGAGACTAGAGCAAGTTTTTTCCCTAGCATATAGTAAATATTATGAACCAAATCAGTGGAATGTTTCCATCTGACCCAGCTGCCTTTTTGATTGAATTTTATTACAGTGAACAGCTTTAGTAGGTATGATATTGCTAACTGGAAACAATGAGCCTCAAGTTTATAACCTGTATTTTCTTGAAGTCTGTGAGACCTAAATGATTACTTTTCTCCTAATAGAGCTCCAAGATCATCCAATGAAAATAATATTGTCCATAAAATATCTGGAGCATCAGCCTAAGAACCACTGCCCATGGTTATTCAATGTCTTCAGGCCTCACAGGATGAGGTAATGGTATGACGGATTTCTTCTCAGTGTCTCTGGAAAATGCTTTCCTCATATCATAGGCGTCCTCGTCGGGCTCCCCGTTGCTGGCCGAGTAGTACTCTATGACCGTCCTGTACACACTGTAGCCCAACTGCTTATACATGTTGACTGCGACTTGGTCAGATACTCTTACAAAGAGATCGACAAAAAATCCACCCTTTCTTTCTGAAATCTCCTCTGATAACTCCATAAGTTTAGCAGCCAAACCAAGGCGTCGAAATGCCGGAGCAAGAGAGAGAGCTGTGACATGCCCGTGCCATTCTTCCCTAGCTACTGAGCCTTCCGCTTTACCCATGATATAACCCATTAACTCTCCACCAGGTGCCTCTGCAACAATGAAGTACTCTGGCCAGTGGGCAAGGTACTGGAGGTAAAAAGGAATCCCGTAAGTTTCTGTAAGTGGATCCAAGTTAATATTGTTGAAGCGGAACAGGTCATCGCACGTGGAGGCCCGGAGCGTGGTCATCGCACCGCCGCGGCAGAAGCCGGCTCAGGGGCTGAATGTAAGTGTTCTGAGCATGTTTAAGGTAGGCGAGGCTGAGCTATGATGTTTGGGAGGTGAGGTGTATTAAGTGCATTTTCACTTACAATATTTTCAACTTACGATGGGTTTATTGGGACATAACCCCATCATAAGTCGAAGAAGATCTGTACTGGCCTTTTCTGCATGATGTTTTATAACATATCTATTTACGTATTTGCTTAGTTGTTTACTGTTTCTCTACTAGACTCTATGCTCCCCGAAAGCTGTAACTAAGTCACTTTGTTTGCCACTGTATACCTGGTGTTTATGACAGTGTTCTCACATGGAAGATACTCCATAAGCTGGGAAAGAGGTTGAGGTTTGGGCTCCCGGGCTCAAATAGCCACCAATTCTTTGCTCATTAAAAACATGGAATCTTAACCTCTATCAGGCCACATGGAGAAAGACCCGGAGACAGGCAAAATAAAATAACCAGATCTGCAGAACAGATTCTGGCTCAACTACACCACCAAGCTATGTGTGGAGGAGGGAGAGAACTCACTGATGAATGTATAGTGACCCTCCCTGCCGACCAAGAATGTGGGTCAATTAATATGCTAATTTTCACTATTAGGTTAGTAGCTCCTTTCCACTGGGGAAGGAGGAAGGTGGTCAAAATCTCTCCCTGAAGTATACACTATTCTGCATAGAATTTCAAGGGAGTAAAACAAAACAAAACAAAAATCCACACAAACTTCTGAAGTCTGTCCATGGTCCACGCAGGCCAACAATCCCAGGTTAACAATCTCTATGGATTTTTTTTTTTAACCAGTAAAACCTTGAGATCTCTAATCTTTACCATCAGATTTAACTCCTATATATTTGATCCTCATCCCTCTCCTCCCTGCAAAAAGAAAGGCACCACATAGCAGTAAAGTGGTAATGGCTGAAAACAATTCCTACGGCAAGGCCTGTGTTCTGCTTTCAAACATGGGAAATGGAATATTCTATTTTCGCAGTTTCCACCTGTTGAAATCATGTTACCTTTGCAGGGCTTGGTACAAATGCCACCTCTTCCACGAGAAATGTTCTCCAATCCCACCAACCAGGTGGAAACCTAACAGTTCCATTCCGGCAGCTCCTGGTTGACTACTTTTGTTCTGTGGTCAGTGGCCCTCCTTATAGCAGAGCTCAGCACAGGGCTTCCAGGGCCTGGTAGGGCCTCCGCGAAGGTCTCTCTTCCTTAATGACTACTATTGGTCTGAAAGATGTTCAAGAGGGAACAGTTCTGCACCCGGCCCAACTTGGGCCGATACTCTCTTTTTCCATTTTACCAAGCGCGTTCAATTTTCACCTCAGGAAATTTCCCCAATGGACTCAACCTGAGGAAACTCAAATTCGGGGAGGTCACACAAAAGTCAAGGCCCTTGCAACGACGCCAAACCACATGGACCGAATCTCACTTTAATGGCCCAAGCCGCGGCAGGAGAAAAAGCCCAACTTTTCGAGGCCCCCAAGGCAGGTGCTCCTTTGAGCTCTGGACCCAAAGTTGAGAATGGGCAAGGACTCCCCTCCCTGCCCAATAAGGTGACAGAGAGAGCAGCGATCTAGACGCTGCAGAGAGCACTTCCGCCTTGAAAAAAGTGTCGTCGAGGGGCAAGCTTCCAGTTCCGTTTCGTCCCACAGCTCAAGGCCTTTCATCCTAGTAGGCGGTTGTCCACACCCCAAGGCTACCCCACCCAGCTGCGCCCTCCAGCTTCTCCACACCCTACCGAGCCGTTTGCACGTCTCGAGGGGGTGACGGATACGCCGTGACATCACTCCGGGAAAAGGGCAAAGCGAGCAACGTACTGGCGATCTTCATGCGGCCCTGGCGCTGAGAAGCGCGCGGAGAGTCCAGAGGCGGGACTAACTTTGACTGACGTCCACACCCACCCATTGCCTTTCTGATTCCTTCTCAAACAAACCAATAGGTGAGACGACGGAGACGGCAGCGTGCCCCAGCCTCCAGGAGTGGCTCCGCCCCCTCCACTGGGTCGTCGTTTAGTCGCCATGATTAGTGTGGCTACCACGTTCGTGCTACTTTAGGCTCTCCTCTGGCTTTCTGATACCTTCTCTGAACTCCTTCCTAAGCATTTGTTCCCTTCCACTGTCAACTTCCACCTTCTCTGGATTCTTGCTAGCTCGGTGCCTATACAGCCACACTTGAGATGGCGGCCGGAGGCGGGGCCCAAGGCGGGGCCTGCCCGGCGCGGTGACGTCAGCGCGCTGCGTGTCGGCAGGTGGAGGGAGAAGGGAAAGTTTGGCCCGTGCGTGGGGTTGGGGTGGAGGGCGGGACAGAGGGGTTGGGCCCGAGCGGATACCCTGTCGCTGCTGCAGCGGAGGCCGAGGCCGGGACCTGGGCCGGGCGGGGAGTGCCGGACGCGGACGAGCAGGAGGAGAGGTCCGCCGGAGCTTCGAGCCCCCGCCGCTCTGCCGCGCGGTGACCCCGCGCCCAGACGCCGTCCGACCCGTGGCTGTTCCCGAGGCGGTTGGTGGGGGCGCGGCGGCGGCGGCGGTGGTTGGGGGTGGGGAGAGGCGCGGCGAGCAGACGAGAGAGGTCAGCGAGTTTGAGGGAGGATCGCGACCCTTGCCGCCGTCATGTCCGAGGACTCGAGCGCCCTGCCTTGGTCCATCAACAGGGACGATTACGAGCTGCAGGAGGTGATCGGTGAGAGCTGGCGCCGCTGAGGGGGGAGGCGCCGTGCTGGGCGGCGGGTGACACGCGGGAACGTGGGGATCCGCGGGAGCTCGGGGAGCTCAGGACTCTCAGATACTCGTGGGCGCTCGTGGGGCCAGGGGTTTGTAGGGCGCGTGGGTGAGGCTCCGGGTTTGTGCGAGGCGGGGAGGGGATTTTGTGGCGAGCCTGTGAGGCTGGTGGGGTGGGGTTTGAGGGGCTCGTGAGAGATTTGGGCAGTGACAGATACTTGAACCTGAGCGATAGATGGGTCTGGGAGGAGGAGAAACGTGCAGGCACAGGACAGGCCTTTAGGAGGCTGTGTGAGAAATAGGCTGTTGGAGTTGTGGGCACAGCCACCTATTTGGGGGATTGTGGGATAGGGGGTTTTAGTTCATTCCCGCGCGGGTATGAGAACACTTGAGTGCCCACGAAGTGCCAACCATTGCTGGGGTGGAGCTGGGGATTCTCTCCATATGAAACTGAAGCTACCCGGTACCGAGGCAACGTAGACACAACTTCCCACTGTTTGGGAGTGACTTTCTAGTCTGGGGGGTAGACATTGAATAACTAGACAAATGAAAAGAGTTTCAAGGTTTGGCAAGTGCCAGGAAGGAAATAAACAAGATGTTCTGATAGAGAGTGACCTGGAGACCTAGACCTAGTTAGGGTGATTTCAAGGAAAATTTTTTTTCTGAGGCGTTGACATTTAAGTCGAGCGCTGAAGGATGAGGAGTCTTAGGATTTCAGGGAAGATTTTTCCCTACTGAGGGATGAGGAAGTGCAAAGGTCCTGAGGAGGGAAAGAGCTTGATGTGTTTCAGGACCTGAGGGAAAAGTGGCAAGGATAGAAAGGGGATCTTCTTAGGCTTGGTAAGGATTTTGGAATTTTATTCTAAGTGTGTTGGAGGGCTTCAAGCAGAGACGGAACATGGTCTGAGGGATCTGGCTGCTGCGTGTGGAGTGGATTTGAGGTCCAGGAATACCAGTTGGCAGAGACCAAAACTTGCACAAACGTGGATTGTAATTCTCAGGCACAGTGTTTGGGGGAGGGTTGGGGACTTGGGATGAGGGGAGTATTTGTTGGACAACAATAATCCAGTGAGTTTAGAAATCAAAAGGGGGTGGGTTTAGCTACACAGAAGCTCAATCTCACTGACATGAGCAGACCCCTCTGTATTGGAGGAAGGAGATGTCTACTTTGCTAGATCAGCATCCTGTCCTAAAATTAGTTTTGTAACAAAGACTGGCTGAAAACTCTTTAGTTGCCTTCGAGGTGTGTTTATTGCAACGTGTCTGTATTTTAGAGAAACTTTATCGTATTTCTTTTTTTTCTTTTTTGCCTCTTGTATTCTCTCTCTCTCTCTCTCTCTCTTTTTTTTAAAGATTTTATTTATTTATTTGACAGAGAGACTGTGAGAGAGGGAACACAAGCAGGGGGAGTGGGAGAGGGAGAAGGAGGCTTCCTGCGGAGCGGGGAGCCTGACGTGGGGCTCGATCCCAGGACCCTGGGATCATGACGTGAGCTGAAGGCAGACAACGACTGAGCCACCCTGGCGCCCCTGCGTCTTGTTTTGAAACAAATCTGGGCTAAGTTTTATCTGAAAGAAATCACATCTTTTTCCTTAAGCCATGTCATGGGTGTCCTTGCTGGGTATTTGACATATACACTGGTTGGTTCTAAAGACAGCTAGCTAGGTCTCTGTCTTGATTGATTGCTTCTGGGTCCCTCAGTCAGTTTCATATTGAAGAAAGAAATTAAGTGAGAAATTTGAAAATGATGTCTGAAAAGTAAAGAAAGTGGATCCCTATCATTGTTTTAGAAGAGGAATATTGCTTTCCTTTCTGGGAAGGTATACATCTTTCTGTAGTCATTTTTTATGCCTAGCTGTTAAGGTGGCATAGGGTTCTAGAGACTTAGAGACATTAATTTGGTATCCTCAAGCCAATAAGGTGTCTGTGAGTGGGCAAAAGAGAGTCTTAGTCCTCTGGGATAGGGTTAGTCTTCATCTCATTCTTAAAGTGGGCCATGGGTAAAAGGTTAAGAATGCCAATGTGATTTTTGACCATCTTATTTTTTAAAAATAACTTTACTGAGGTATAATTTAATGCTATAAAATTCACCCATTTTTTTTTTTTAGTACAAAATTCTGTGGTTTTTAGTAGATTTACTGTGCTGTGCACCGGCCAGCATAATCCAGTTTTAGAGTATTTTCATCACCCAGTAAGATCCTTGTGCCTGTTTACAGTTAATCCCTGTTCCCACCCCCAACCCCAGGCAACCACAAATCTTTCTGCCTCTATAGGTTTGCCTTTTCTGGACATTTTCTATAAATGAGATCATAATAACATACTGTCTTTTGTGTTTGACTTCTTTCACTTAGCATAATATTTTTTCATTTGTAAAAACAATTTTACTGGGTTATAATTTATATACCACAAAATCCACCTGTATAAGTATACAATTGTATAATTTTTTAGTAAATTTACAGAGTTGTTCAATCACCCCCACAATCCAGTTTTAGAACATTTCCATCATTCCAAAAAGATGCCTCATGTCCATTTGCAGTCACTCCCTGTTCCCACCCCCTGCCGCAGGCAACCACAAATCTACTTTCTGCCTCTATAGATTTGCCTTTTCTGGATATTTCATGTAAATATAATCATAT